CACACACACACACACACACACACACACACACACACACACACACACACACACACACACACCTCCCCTGTTAAGACAGGAATACCAAAGCTACTTGTTAAATCTAATGCATGCACTGTCAACCCATTCGCACCCCGTCACGTCCCGCTCAATATAGAAACCGGATTTTCTGGTATTACCCGCACCTCCATTAGCCAGAACTCCACTTCAGCCCACCACCGCCACTGTGACACACACACACCCCAACCCCCACAGTTTGGGACCAGAACAGAAACCCCCCCAGACACCAAATAAAAATAAAAACCTAAAAAGAAGAAGCCACTGCACAAATTCCTCACAATACCTCTGAACTGCTGTTTAATTGGAATTAATTATATCAAATGGCGACGATTTACTAATTGATGAACTTGTATGACAAGATTAAAACGTCTAATAACCCTCGTTACACGAATCCAAATCATTTAAGGGAATTTGCTTAAATTCTAAAAGAACAATTTCAAACCGTGTTCTAAAATTAAAAGTTATTTGTGTGTGTGTTTTGTGCTACATATATTGGGTTTTATGTTAGATTTGTTTGTGTTGTTGCAGCTGAACTCTTACAGATGTGTGCGTCTCTGTTTTTTTCAGCGCTTCTGAGCAGCTTTAAAGTTTCACAAGTTGAAATAAAAATAATAACAATAAAGACAACTGAGTTTAAAAAAATGCATGTGAAACCGACCTGTGTGCGGACCCATGGAGAGGTGGGACGAGTAGTACTTCCCTGGCTGGAAGTGAGCCGGGTGCTGCACCGAGCCGTGGCCGCCCGGCGCCAGCCGAGCCGCGGCGCTGTGAACCAGGGCGCTCCGCTCCGTCAGGAGGGGGTGCGGGGGAGCGAAGTCGCGGCTTTCCATCCCGACCAGCTCAGACCAAATAAATCCCAAATCCAAAGGAAGAGGAGAGAAGGAAAAATCCGCAGGCACCAACGATTTTTTTTTCAGGCACCTTGATGCCAAAAATGTTTTTTCCAAAAAAAAAAAAAAAAAAAAAAAAACAAAACATATAAACCCTTTCTATGGGCATCGCGCTCACATCGATCTGAGCGCAGTTTGGGCTGGAAACGGAGTCCCCGTCATGTCCTGCAGGAAGACAGAGATCAGGAGCTGACAAGAAGCAGTCTGAGACATACTCACAGTTTGTTTKTTTTTAAATCACACTATCTGCAAAACAATTTTTAAAAAATCTATTCAAATTTCACCAAACGCTCTCAGAAAAGCCACATTTACATTATAAACTCGGATTATTGGTTTCAGGAAGGTGAGCAGAGTCTTTCTCTGAGCATGAAATCAAGCTCGTGGCCCCAGTACTGGACTTCCCTCTACACACACACACACACACACACACACACACACACACACACACACAC